TAGCGACAAAAACAAAATGTGATGAACTTAATGGTCTTTGAAGCCTAGGCCATAAACTTGTATCATCGATCCATTCGCTGTCCGATTCCATTCTATAAACAAGAAAATACAAGAGCGATGTCCAAATGTAGATATCAAATGATTAAATAAAGCCGAAATATCAAAAGGACCTAAAGCAAACACACGATTTCAACGCAGAACGTAAAAGAACTCGAGAACAAAGCTCCGGTGGTGGCCGGTGCAGTTCACAACGCGGAGCAACTGCGAGAAACTGAAGGTCGGCTATGTCGGCAGGGTCACGTGACGTCAAGATGGCAGCGTCCATGAAGTGTTCCCTGAAAGGGTCTATATGTATTTCTGTTTTTGTTTATATGAACCATTCAGTTGAAGGTTACGCCGAGTACTGTCCAGATCTTACTTTGCTGTGTCTGTGTTTTTCTGGCATATTATTCAGTGATGAATAGCCAACTTGCCATCTTAAGCCCCAAGACCATGCAATATGCATACAAAGATATCTTTTGGCAGGCTTGCAATAACTTGTGCTTACTTCATGAGCCTCGAAAGATGGGAAGCCTGCCAAAGGTATCTTCGTGTGCATGCTGAATGTATTTAAGTCGTGTCGAGTCGGTTGTTCCTTTTGGTTGCTTTAGTGGGACTCTCATCCCATTTTACATTGAAAGTTTATAATACATTTTCACAAGAATATTGCTCAAATTCATTTTATTTATTGATTTAATATAATCAAGTCAAACTCAATGTTTTTCGGATCTGATTTTCTTTTGTGTCGTTTTAATTACTAGGGAATTTGGTTTTTTGTGGGTTTATAGCTTCAGGGCTGTCAGTGGAAGTTGAGACCACTTTATATTGCAACCTTAGAGGTAGCAAGGTATAAAGTTGGGCGAGTTGGTTGATGGTCATATTGAATGGGTTAAAACAGCGCAAAAAAGATGGACCAGTAAAAGGAAAGACACATCGCTGTGTTTGTGATTAAGCATGAGGAAGATGCATAGAAAGGGGGGACGGACAACGAAGTTTTCCGTCCGTCCCCCCCTTTCTATGTATCTTTCTCATGTTTAGTTACTGTTACCAACACGCTCGTTTTGTACGTAACTGTGTCTGTGTGTTTCCTTTCACTGGTCCGTCGCCTTTTTAGAGGTAGGTAACATAAATACCAAAAAGTACTTCTTTGCATTTAAAGAAAAGCAGATAGAAAACATTGTCTTTACAGTGAAGTTGTACTTATGGCTTGGTTTTACTATCGAGAGAAACAAGAAAAATTCCCTTGCGGCAATTCAAAGTCAGGTTTCAAACGATCTGAGCAACCTTCCACAGTACTGTATGTTATATGTGGTGTTCACATTGAGGTGCTCTAACTGACTTTTATTTTGCATTTACTGACAGCAGTATTCTACAAATGGAGGGAAATCATGCTTGTCACTGTCATGTTCTGTAGTTCCTGCGTTATCTATTTTGCTGCAGAATTAAAGACCCAGTGGGAGCGCCTGGCCGCAGCAGTGACTGGTGGGGGCACTGTGTGTGCTCTGGGAGATCCCAATCTACCCAAGGGGGAACTCACTTAGTGCTCAGCTAAAGCGCGATGCACACTTATCAGTTTTCGGATTCACGGTCGAGAGCAGTTCATTCACATTATATCACAGCCACTAATTCTGAAATGGCTGTCCGAGAGAAACTGGCCCGAGTCAAGGCAATTATTTTCACTTCTAAAGTGCGTGGTCCATGCCATCCTTCTGATTAATGAATCCGCTCTTCAAGACATTTTATTTTTCAAATATGAGATTCGGGTGTAACATAAATATTTGTGCCTGTTTTCAAATTTTACACCAGAAACAACTGATAACGAAAACAATAATGAGCTTGCTTACCCGAGCCTCCACGATCATATCTCTGGGCGCAATGCCGATACAGCACACTCTTAGTCTAAACCTACACCAAAAACGATTAGCAAGTTCAGGACCAGTTCAGCCCCGAGTGAGCGTCCTTTCCTCGAGGCAGATCAGAATCTCGTGGAGCGCACATAGCGCCCCCGACCACGGCCATCTCGGCCACGCGCTTTTAGCACGTCTTTTATATCGAAGGAGACTGAACATACCACCAAGACCTTTTGGGTGGCCTTTCTGCTGTGTTTTAATTTAATTAGGTGCATGATTTATAGTTCATGTAAAACATATTTACTAAACATTCATCACTGGTTATCTTGTTCCTTCTCCAGGTGCTGCTATCGAGCTCTACGTCACAGCCATGAAGTGGCCATGAGGTGAACCATGGACAACTGCTGTCATTGGTACTCGAATCGGCAGAGCCACGTACTAGTTGTGGAGCCCACTGGCCGGGCAGCAGATACTCGACCAGCAACCAGCCTTTGTCGCTCTAGTGAGACACGAGAGCGACAAACATAAACAAACGACAGCTACAAGCCTCCAACCCATTCAGCATGCCCGCGATGGTACTTTTGGCAGGCGTTTATTCGTTCGGTGCTCGTGAAATGAGCATGAGTGATTCTAAGCCTGCCAAAGATACCCTCGGGTCCATGATGCTTGTGTTTAAGCATAGCCTCCTTTATTCTACAAAGCCTGTCAAATCGCGAAAGACTCAGGTTTGAGACTTGTCGTCATTTGTTTCTGTTTGTCGCTGTAGTGAGACTCGGGCATAAGCTAGCACCATGTACTGAACATGAAATAAAAAAAACTACCGTATCAGGCTTGATGTTGCAGCTTCATTTGCATGTCAACCGTACAATAAATACAGCAGCTCGCACATGTTTTCAACTTTCATTTTATTGTTTAAGTATTCTGAGAAAATTACTGGAGCAGCTCCATTAATCGTGGGTCACTGAAACTTAATCACCGTCAGAAGTTCTGGACATGTCATCGTCGTCCGAAGCCTCGTCAGCTTGGTAGACATCCTCGCAAATTCGGAACAATACTTCACTGACACCGTTTAAAAAGTGACAAGAAGAAACGAAAGTAGGTGCGAAGTGACGAAAGACAAACTGCAAAGACGCAAGCAAAGCCGCCGTGTCACCATGAGCAACAGGCGAGCCGAGCGGCCTCAAACAACTAACAGTTTTTTTTTTGTGCGCGTTTGCGAGGATGGAGGGCAAAGTGCGTGGCGCATCGCGTTCCTCTCCTTCCCCTTAGCCCAGCATAGGAAACGCTTGAGGCGCGATGGTGAAATCGGACGCCCGAGGGGTGCGCGCGATAGCGGCACCTGCCACCGCGGGCAGGCTATTTCGGTTGTTTACCAAAAGTTTTTTGAAACAAGAAGCGGCGCGGCTCTACGGCAACGCCCGCTCGGTGACTCGATAGCTTCATGCCTCCGGTAGGGTCGCAAAATTTGGTCGCGAATGTAGGTCGAAAATATTTGGTCACGATTTCCGAAAAAAAAAGGTCGACTTGTATTCGAATAAATACGGTAGTCAGCCGCGCGACGAGACACACATTATGAAAGCGATTGGTGCGAGCGACCAAGGCAATGAGCGACGTTTTTGAGAAACCCGAAAACCGAGAGACGCAAGCAGGGACAGTGAGAAATCTTCGTCGCTCGTCGCCGGCACTCGTAGCTTTTCGTCGTCGCTCGTCTCGTTGATCGCTATATTGCTTAAATGCCGTTCAGAAAGGCGCTCTAAGTGCCTTTCTGAACGGCCATTGCATTGGGACCAGCCTCGCATCCAACCGTAACCATTATTCTCTTTTTTTAAGCTGCCCAGGTATAAGTTAACATCGTGAAGACATCGTTTTCAAGCATGGCTCCTTGTTCATCGGCTCCATTTACATTTTCGGTAAATGACAAACCGTGATGAGGCACAATTATTCTAGCTCAAAATTTTCAGGAACAGTTGGCACGAATGCTTACACTGAAGCGCAGCTAACTTAATTTAAAAGTAGAACGAAAAGGGGATGATATTCGCTTACCGCTTCACGGAAAGACAGACGTCTTCGGATCCTAGACCTACCGTTTGAACTTCGCATCTCGAAGTCGTGGACGGTCCGGCGATCGGACGAGGCGAGCCGGCCGTGCTGCGCTGACCCAGGCTGACCACACCTGGGTGAACTATGAGAGGCGCCGTCGAGTTGAGAACCAGCGTCGCAGTAGAAACGGACTGCCAAACGTCTGTCCCGTACAACACACGAGCCGACGTCCCCCACTCTCCGCCATCTTCTCCGTGACGACGGGAGCCGGGAAAGCGGGGAAGCCGAGCAGCGGAAGCGGAAGTCACAGGGGCGGCCACTTCACGTTTCGCTTTTAGCCGACGCCGGTATCGGTTGAGGAATCGTGCGGTTGCAGCTGGTTGCGACGAGAGCAACCACGAAAGGATGCCTAGTTGGCCGTGTACGAATCGCGGTACGAGCAACGGGCCGTTTACTGCTGTCGACCGGTGACGCGGTATCCTCGGCTTGGTGTCAGGATCGGTTTGTTGTCGTGCACGTTGGCTTTGCTATGCAGTATGGCTGGTGCAGCTGTCGAATACTTGCGGTGCTCATTATTCGAGACAGTCGCCCCAAGACGTCGCCGTGAAGAGTTGACCGATGAATTCGTTGAGCTCAACGTCGGTCTATGTTCCGTTTCGACATGTATGGCATATGTAACGATACCGGTGGTTGATGATGGATGTCTTTTTTGGAAGATGGCGGTCACCTTTCCGCATTTATGATCTGGTGATACCGGTTTTGCTGAGGTATAGACCTTTTCACCCAAATTCCTATGGGCGCCGCCATCTTGGCATCACATGATTCGTCCGCCATAAGGTGGCTTCAATCTGCCGCTCCTCTAGCTTTCCGCAGCTTGTTACTCCGTGATCGAAACGCGGTGTTCCTCTTTACGCGTCGTCTTTGTTTTGCGTTTTGTGCCGGTGCCTGGTTAGTAACTTTGTTCTGAGGACGTGATTGTCGTGAGGCAGCCTCTAGATAGCTCCAGAGCTCATTTGGGCATTCCGACGGTGCTCGAGAGCTCAGCCCGCCGCGATCACGACCGTGGCTGCGATGGAGGCTGGATGGGTGGACGACTTGAAACTTTGGCCCAAGATTCAGCGATCCTGTAAGTACCAATACTTAGCTATCATATGCGTTTTCGTTCCTTGTTGATTCAGTTATATATTAACTTCGTTGAAAGTTATCCTAGGCAGCCTGAGTTCTGTTTGCATCCGACTTTTTGATGCCGAAAGTCAATCACGCACGAATTGCTCGTTTTAAAAACGCCCCACGAGGCAAAGCGCCGGCCTACGGGTCCTCCAGTTGGCGGGCTGGATTACCGAGCCCCGGCCGAGGTCCCCGTAATACGACGGAGTCCTTTCGCGCGAAATTCGCCGCGTAACCGAGATCGCGGTTGCACGTCGAAAGAAATTAATTTACGGCCCTTGCTGCGACGTGCGAGATGCCCTTCGTTGGTGTGACACGTAACCTCCAAATTTACGTTATCGATCTAAAAGCTGGTCGAAAGTAAGTGCCGTCCTTGAACCAGGCGCCTCTTGTTTTTCTGAAAATCAATTTTATGAAGAAAAAAAAAAGAAAAAGAAAGGAACGGAGTGTTCAGAGTTTCGTCCGGATGGAGCAATATTGGATGCGGTGGAGTTCCCGTCTGAAGCTCCAGAGTAGCTCAGTGAAAAGGTGTCGGCTTCATACGGCGCGTTCCCAGGTTCAATCCGCAGAGCATAGTGTTTTTTTTTTTCTTTTTTCCTTTTTTTAAACATTTGGCGATATTTACCCATTTCGTTTTTTACAATTATCACTGAAAGTAACAAATGTTGTGAAGGAAACGTCGCTGAACTAAATGGTGTGGGACTCCCTTTCCGGTGGTGCAATGGGGGGCAGCAGGGCAAGTAGCCTGTGTTTTATCTGGACGGAACCCTAGCCACAGGCAAAAAAGAACAGTAAAAGTGCATGTTAGCTGGTGTAAGTTTACCGTTTTGTTAAAACACGTGAGACATGGTGCAAAAACTAAGAACCATAAAAAAACAAAAACAGGCACCACTTGTTTTCCTGGAAATCAAAGTTTTATGGAAAAAAAGAACAGCAAAAGCGCATGGGCTGGTGTAAGTTATCAATATTGTTGGAATACCTCAGACTGGGTGGAAAATTCAGACATGAATATAGAAAAGACCGGAAAAGACCGGATGTTTCGTATTAAAGAAATTTAAACAACTTTCATATTATTTTTTCTTTACAGTCATCTATGAGTACATGGTGGACCGAGAGGACCTGGATGGGAAGCCAGCAAACAACCATAAGGGATTCGCCGAAGCCCTAAACCTGCTGGACTCTGGCCATGTAGCAACCATTTTCGTGCGAGGGGGCAGTGGCTCATGTCAGCTGAGGGCTAGTGTGCGATCGTCACAGACGGTATCAAAAATGTATGATACCTTGATCAGCTTCGAGGACAACGTCATATTGAGCATTGTATGCTCTTGCATGGCAGGGCTGGGACAATCATGCTCCCATGCTGGAGCAATTTTGTTCAAAGTAGCGGAAGCAACAAGTAGTGGGTTGACCGGGTCGTCCTGCACAGATGTGCAGTGCAACTGGAACGCGTCCACCGTAAAGAACGTTGTTCCTTCCCCGCTGGAGACCATATGTGGACACACACCGAAAAAGGCAGCTTTCCTACAGTTTGACAGCCATGCTGCACTCCAACAACACTTCATGAGATCTGGGTTCCAGGGCCCGGGAGGATCCATCCTGTCTTCGGTGATGGAAGCTACACTTAAGCCGCCTCCACTGCAGATTTTTGGAGGTAATGTCGAACAGAGAGGGCAAGTTTTCATTGCTTAATATTCTGTGTGCGATATATTTTCCAGGAGCTCGTGCCCATGGAAGTCACAGCGCGGACCTGTCATGCCAGCTATGCAGGAAATTCTACGAGAAGAGTGTGCAGTTGACTGCAATTCAAATATCGTCACTGGGAGAGCGAACCCCAAGCCAGGGGAGCAGTGAATGGCTGCAACAACGACGCCTGAGGATCACCGCAAGCACAGCTGGCTCAATCCCGAAGACTGCGTCACCAGAGAACTGGATTGCCAGGCGGCTTAACAACACATTCCGTGGGAATGACAGCACAAGGCATGTATCTAAGGCCTACATGCTTGAGACAAATTAATAACGACCTGATTCACAATGGTTCACTTTTCATTAGACTTACCACAGTAAGAACAGCACATTAACAACTCAGAGTTTATGCACTCGGGCTCTGGCTTTAGTTTTACCTTTAATCAACACTTTACCTTGATTTGAATAGACAGACTCCAGTCTAGTAATGAAGACAGGAGCTTTTCTTGTTGATGTTCTAAGTATACTCAACCTGCTGCGCATACAAGAAGCATAAGCCTAGACACCACAGGCGTTTGTTTTTCAAACTGCGGGTATGTTATATCTGGGTATCAGTCAGTGCACGTGATGATAAGCAGTTGGTTTTTGTGATTCCCCATAATGATGCAGAAAAGCTAACTCCATGCCACATTGGGAACATCCGAAATTATTTCGGTGTCTCTTCCAGGCCCGAAACTGGCCAACACAGGATGCATGATGAGGCACTTGCAAAGCTTGCTACATTTCTTTGCATGATTTTCACTCCACTCGGGCATTGTGTTTCTTTCTCAGCAAGCGCTGGCCAAAACTTTCCGAAATAATTAACAGCCAGCATTTGCTGTGCTCATAGCTTGGCGGTGGGTGCTGGCATGCGAAGCATAGAGTTGACTGTGGTGGGATTTGGCCGTATGGCCACATATACGGCACTTGAATCCTGCAGGTGGCATTTCGTTACTAGCCGCATCTTAGCAGAGTCAATGTGCTCTTCTTGCGCTCTGTCTACCGTTTGTTCACAAACATGTCAAATGTTTCTCACAAGAGTACAAAACTGAAGTTGGTGCATGAATAAATTTTCTAGTTTATGTTCAAACCAACAAAGGGTCCCAGCAGACGACTGAGGATTCATTTCAACCACCTGGGGGTATTTTCATGCAGCCTAAAGCTCGGTTAAACAGTCCGTGCCCTCTATTCAATAGGCCTCCAACATTCTATGGTGCCTGGAAACCAACTTCAACTTGTGTGTTTACTGCCCCATAGTGCCCGTTCGCAAAAGTGGTCCTGAAGTGGCAACAAATTGTGTCACGGGAGCCGGAATGTCGTGCAGTTGGATATCGTGATCCTGGCAATTGGTCGTGGAAGTGCCAGCCAAGAAGACAGGTGGACGCTAGGGCCGAATTTTTGCAGACTGTCGGACTGCACGGTGACGTACAGAGGAAAAGGTGTCTGCTATATCTGCCTTTGCAGTGGTGTTACCACCAGCATTGCGACGAGTGACAGCTCGACATATTTGTGACACCACGAGGTGGAAATCAATGACCCAAAAATAAGGGCCCGGTAAACACACCAGCCGGAGACACGTGCTATGCACCATAGTCATACTGCAGGTGACTTGGCTAAGATTTGAGCCTCCAAACTGGGGATACGTAGGCCGGCACTTTGTTTCAGAGCCACCGAGGTGACTTGAATCTGGCATAACGACGACTTTGAATATAGACCAAGTCATGTTTGTAAGCAAACCGAAGTGCCCCTTGTGACACGCCTCAGGCACCGCGCATGTGCGATAGAGTGTGGGCAAGAAACACCGCGTCCCGTGTTGACAAACCATTGGAATGTTGCGCTGTCGGCATCAGTGTGAGTCCCCGTGCTCCTTTTCGCGTTGGAATTGTTGCTTCTATGTCTTCCTAGCAATGTCTTACCATTTTAGTGGCCCGAGTGAAATTAAGAAAGCTCGCTACACTCCAATATTTCGCGTAAATAATGTGACGTGCGGCTATTCATTCTGCATGGACGCTGCAGTATGGACGCTAAAACCATGATATTCTGCTGGCTATTTTCAGTCACGACGTTGCTTGGCCTGCAAAAGCGTGGACGGCAGCTGTGATGCCCAACGGCGATACTGTAAATCACGAGCAGAATCGGACCAAGTGAATTAGGCATAACAAGTTGGTGATGGCTACTGGTAACAATGGCCAACATCTTGTATTTACTGTTTACACCGAGCCTATGCTTACCCCAAGCAACTTTCAACCCTATACACCAATTCATGGTTACAATCAAACCGGAGCGCCCCTAGCGGATGGCACTGACGCCGCGCACGCGCAATGGGGTGTGGGCAGTAGCTCGCCGTCGCCCATAGACAAACCATTGGAATGGGATGTCGTTGGCGTCGGTGCGAGTCCCCGTGCTCTTTTTCGCGTTGGAATTGTTGATTCTACATCTTCCTGGCAATGTCTGACCACTTGAGAGGTGTCAGCAAAATTAACGAGGCTCGTTACACTGCAAAACGTGGCGTAAAAAATGTAACTTGCGGCGATTTATTCCGCGTGGACGCCGCAGAATGGACGCTAAAGCCTGATTCGCATCATAAGATTCTGCTCGCTATTTTCAGTCATGACGTCGCTCGGGCTGTAAAAGCCTGAACCATAGCTGAGATATCGACGTCAATACTGAAAATCGCAAGCAGAATCGGACCGAGTGAATCAGGCATAACAATTCGGTGATGACCACTGGTAACAATTATCAACATATTCTAATATCTACTATTTACACCGAGCCTACCTATCTGAAGCAACCTTCAAACTTAACCGTCTTTTGAGGTCTGCACTTCTTATCGCAATTACCGGGTCAACGTTTGGTCTACGGGACGCTGTCGTTTGAACGAGCAGATGAAAAGCAGAAACGTTTAAAAGAGCAGACGACAGCTCGAACGATGAGGCAGCCGTTTGAACTTGAGGACGCACTGAACGTAGTTCGCAGGTGGTCCATGCAACTTGACAGTTTCCCCTCGTTCATGTTGAAACAAAACAAATAAATCTGACGACCACAAGTATCTATGATTTCAATCCAAAGTGCTTCCCGCCCAAGCAATCGTGGTCCGACGGCGTCTGTTTTTTTTTCTTTTTCACGGCCCCTATTCACGTTCTTGGACGAACCGAGCAGGCAGAAAACGGATGAAAACTGATCTTCAAATTTTTGTCGACTCTTTTGGTACGGCCCCAGTTGCGGCATTTTGACGAGAAGGCAGGTTTTTGTCCGGTTTCTTCCAAAGTAACACAGGAATGCACGTCCCCCATGGCGACTTCCGCCCACAGCCCCAGACCGGAAGTGCGCCAAATGCACCACCACCGCGCCGTGATGTAACAGAGATGAGTTTGCACATAAATATTTTGATGTCTGTACTTGCTTATCCCAGTTACCGGGTCAAAGTTTGGCCTACGGGCCGCTATCATTTGAACGAGCACATGACAACAAGCAGACAACTTGAAAGAGCAGATGACAGTTCGAACGATCAGGCGGCTGTTTTAACTTGAAGACGCACTGAATGTCGCGCATGGTCCGTGCAACTTGGCGGTTTTTCCGCATTCATGTTAGAACAAAACAAATAAGTCTGACGACCAGAAGTATCCGTAAAGCCAGCCCAAAGTGCTTCCCGCACAAGCAATCGTGGTCCAACGGCGTCTGGTTTTCCTTATTCACGGCACCTATCTGCGTTCTCGGACGAACCAAGCGGGCAGAAAACATGTAAAACTGATCTTCAAACCTTTGCCAACTTTTTTGGTGCGGCCCCAGTCTCGGCGTTTTGATGAGAAGGCAGGTTTTTGTCTATTTTTTTCCAAGACAACACAGGAATGCACGTCCCGTATGGCGACTTTCGCCCACAGCCCGTGACCGGAAGTGCGCCCGACATGCCACCACCGCGGCGTGACGTAACATGAAACCTATGCCACATAGCCACGACACTGACAAGCAGTGAAAGGAGGTCCTTTCGCCTTGGGCGTCCACTTTCACTGCTTGGTTCTCATAAACATCACTGTCTCGTGTGCATGTTTTTCAGCATGACCAAATAATCATGATTTAGCGAGTGTGCTACGCGGCACCTCAGTGAATCTCAGCAGGGTGACATTTTGTTAATCTGAGAGATACGCAGGTTCTTTGCCAAGCCTATCGAAAGTCTGTGATTTGGTTTGTGTGAAAGTTTAGAATGTTGGTCAATTTAAGTGGAGCTACACAAATTCTGTCCCAATAGCATGACGATAGGTTTGCATAGGGTGCCTACGTCTTTCCGCTTCGCTTTAGGGTGGCGCCAACTTCATGTTACCCTTTCCCGCCGCCCTTTTTTCCCCACTTCTTATTTCACTAAACGTAAACAACGTTCAGTTTCTGTAGTCTCGAAACACCGGCAACACTGTGAGGCGACTTCCGTTTCCGTTTATAAGAGGAGTCGGAGGCCCAGCGGGATGGCGGCCATGGTAGCTGTCGCTCTCTTTATTCGGGTGCTTCATGTTTTGAAGTTGCGAGCAGGAACTGTGCGTTGCTTTTACGAAACGAAAGTTCCCGCAACAAAATGGGACGCAACAGATTGGCATTGCACGCAGTTGAAAGAGCTGTGGGCGCTCCCTAGCCCTAATGAGGATTAGCGGCGTAGTGGGAGCGCACGACCGGCAGGTGCGACAAAATGGTCGACGAAAACAGCGGAGGTTGCCATGGCAACGAGGTAGGCAACAGTGGTTTGTCAGCCTCAGGTATCACAAACGTTGTCGCCACCCTAAACAGCGGAGCGCCGGAAACATGTAGGCTCCCTAGGTTCACATACCCACCCTCATGTCAAACAGCGTGATATTTTTCATGCTGCTACCTTCTCGTTTTGCGCAATCTAGAACATAGGTCTCATAAAGTGTTGCGCTTCTACGCTGCGATGCAAAAAGTTAAACAATGACTCGTCCAACCACCTTTCATCTGCCATCTTGGCTGACTTTAACGCACTGCAGGAGTTGCCAGAAGTGCAACATACTTTCAGTACGTCGCACTATTGCACTTAAACTTATTTAAGTGCACTACTGCACTTAATTAAGGCAGAGTATACAAGGTCAACTCTGGTAACGAAAATGTAGCTACATCTAACAGGTCATTACCAGTGTAATTTAAGAGCTCCATGCACATATTCAAAGTACATAAAATATACTCATTAAAAAAAAAAACATTAGCATGATGCAACTTGTTTATTCTGCTCCTTTCCTTGTTTCCCGCAGGCATGGAAAGTTATCCGAGCCCAAGGCACGGGCGTGGTATGAGAGCGAAAGAAACTGCAGAGTCGAGCTCTGTGGCATGACTGTCAAGGAGGCCACTCCATGGCTAGCTGCCAGCCCAGACGGCTTTGTTCCTGCCAGCGACAGCTTGCTGGAAATTAAGTGTCCAACAGACAATGTCTTGAACAGGCATGGCGGCCTAACTGGCCTCTTTTCAAGTAGAACATACGACGTGAGATACGACGGCCCCAAGTTAATGCTATCACGAGATGGAAAATCTTCGTTCTACACCCAAGTGCAGCTGCAGCTCTTCTGTTTGGGGAAAACACATTGTGACTTTGTAGTGTGGGCGAGAGGTGAAGGGCATATCGGTGTGAAAGGTCAAGCGCACATAATTGGTGTGCCGTATGACAAGGAATTTGTGGACAAGTTGCTGCCAAAACTGGAAACACTTTATTTTGAGCAGTACCTGCCTGCACTTGTTGACTCTCATTGATCATGATGGAAATGTACAGTCAGCGCGGAATGAAACCTGAATGCCAGAACGCGTGGCCATCGACACAGGCTTCTCTACCCAAAGGGCCCCTGAGAATTAATGAAAATGCACCGGGGTGCGAGGTTGCCGCTCTACTAAGATGTGCTCGACCCTCGGGCGGCGCGTCTGGGACTTCGCGTTTCGCCGGTGGCGCGCTGTAAGCGCCGTCACTCGGGGTGCTTTTGTGTCGCCGCACCGTTGCCCTGTCGACACCTGCGGCTTGCGCGCGGCACGAGAGGTCGATGCTAGAGCAGCAGGTGTCGACCGGGCAACCTTGCGGCAACACAAAAGCACCCCCGAGTGACGGCGCTTACAGTGTGCCACCGGCGAAACGCGGGAGTCCCAGACGCACCGCGCGAAGGACGAGCACATCTTAGTAGGACCCGAACCTTTGCACCCCAGTGCATTTTCATTAGTTCTCAGGGGCCCTCCAGGTGCAGCAGCCTGTGTCGATGGCCACGCGTTCCGGCGTTCGGGTTTCATTCTGTGCTGACTGCAAAAACACAGTAATAAAGTACATGAAACTTCAAAGACTTCAACTTTGCTCTCCCTCCTTGATCAGGCTTGGTTGCAGATTGCATAGCCCTGCGATGACTACCAGAATGTTGTCAACACAGTTTACCTTCGCGAAAACTGGAGATGGGATGTATTTCAGGAACCGAAAACACTTCATCCTACAGATCGATCTCTCAACATGAATTCGTACCTTAGAGAGCCGACGGGAGAACACAACCTCGGCCTCGGACAGTTGCTGTTTCTTCCGTCTGAAGGACGGCAACGACAGCTTTACTCCATATGGTAGAATGTCGGCAATGGTGAAGCCCTTGTCTGCGAGAACCTCGTCACCTGGGAGTAGGTACTTCAGCAGACCAGAGTCCAACGTGATAAACTTGTCACTGGCTCGTCCCCCATAAGCCTTCGAAATAAACATAATAAAACCATTCGGAGCAATCACGTGAAGAACCTTGGCAGTGTTGTGGCTCTTGTACGGGCTAAAAGAGCAACCCCTTTTGAGCATGTTCTGTGCTCTGTCGACAAATACTTCAAAGCAGTCTGCAATGCATGTAGTGTTAGGGAAATCTGTGAAGACAGCAGGACGTGTCGCTAAAATAGTCTCTTGAGGTAGCCACATGACAAGGTAATCTCGCGAAAAACCAGCAAGGACCTCGATCCAGAAGTGAAACACCTTGCTAGTCAGCGACACTGAAATCTCGAAGCGGAAAGCTAGGTTGACTACCAGTAGTTCGAGGCGTAGTCTCATGAGGGTCAGCAAGACCTGGTTGTGAACATCAAGCTTGAAGATTAGCTTTGCAATTGATGACGCGACCCTCACATACTCGTCGAACATGGGCTTAGAAAGTCCAGTAAAAAAAGGAAAGCGTTTTGGAGGAATGCAATCATAGAATGACAATCCAGTTTGTGTCGCACGTGTGTGTCCTTTCGGGAACACAGGTGAAGCCGCCCCATACAAGTGGTCCTTCGAGCGTTCATCTTCGCATTGCACTGCCTTGTCTTCTTTCATTACATCACACCTGCAGATGCACTGACATGCAGGGAAGGTAACAGACACATCAGTCTTGTCAACTGGGGCGTCGACAGCATTTCTCGGAATGGTGTTCGATGGCTCATCGTCATGTGGATGAATGTCTTCACCCGAGTCTACAGAATCGTGTGTAGTAGCAGCAAAGGACGTACATCTGTTGATGCATTCCCTCAAGTTGGACTTCGCCTGCAGCGTAGCTGGCGTGGCCGGGCTTGCAATGGGGTACCGTGTCGGCTTTTTTCTCCCTTTATTCTTTGGAACCTTAAAAAAAAAGTTCACAGTGGTCATGAGAAGTATTTAAGAACAAAATATTGGCAAGCTGGCTTCAAGTAAAAATTATGAAATAAAGATAATGAAAGGAGAGAACAAGATAAAAGAAATAAACTGGCTGGGTTCATTACCCATTTGGCAGTCTTCACTAATTTCTCAGTTAAAATTCAGGTGTTTTCTTTATTTATATTATTTTAATTTAGTGATCAATTACTCTTGTGTAGTGGTTGATCAGCGTCATAACCGTCATAGGGTATCTCCAGTTGTCATAGATATTTTGTCAAGGCAAATAGTGAATGTCTTTGCATCACAAGGAAGAAAAATATCGGGATTGCCAGAGTAAAAGCAAGCTTACCACGCTCCCAGTCCGGTGATGGATCGTAGGGTATGGGTTCGCTTCCGTCGGCCTGCCGTCAATGAAGTGAATGGAGCACACCTAAATAAATAAATAAGCAAGTTATGTGAGGCCAAGCAACAATCGTCACTTTCACGCAGCGAGTTTTGCGCTGCGAGTTTCACACGTGAAACGTAAGAAACAACCGACAAAACAATTACCATGAATGATTGACACACAAGCCGTTTTGGCACCTCGCCATCACCCTCGTTCTTTATGTTGTGAGCCCGACCGCCACAGCGGCCGACGAGCGGCTGCCAACATGCCGCCCGCACCACCGGGACATAGGCGAGAAGTTAGAGTAAATACCTAAACCAGTACTCACCCTTGCGTTCTTAGTGGGATTCAGCTCCTTGCGTTGAAGGTTGGCTAGCCATTTCCTCCGTTTTTCTTCGTTTTTGTCCCCTTGCGGAAACCAGTGCAGCGCGTACGAGCGCAGGCAAGGGCATTCGGCGCGTAGGAGCGGACCGTGTTGATCGCAGACAGAAGTGTCCCACGCCTTCAAGAACCCTCCACTATTCTTGCAACCGATCACCGAACATGTCTTGCCGGCTCGGTACGGCGGTTTTTTCACTGAAGCGTGGTCCATCCAGAAAAATCGGGCCTGTTAAACCGACCAAACTCTCAACCACCGCCTTGCGAGGCCTCGCGCATACCGAAACTGGACGAATTTGAAGCCACCTTATGGCGGCCGCTCCCCAGGGCCCCTTCGCGGCCGGTCGCCTAACTACTGAGATGGAAAGGTCTCTAAGCATTGCGTTGGAAAGATGATGGTCGCCTACGTTATCGGACGCAAAATCATACCAGCCGCACCACAACATATTGGCAAGCAAACTGGCGGCCAGTATAGACAGACGCGGAGCCAAAGCGGTGCCGCCATCTCCAGTTATGCAGAACGTCAAACCAAACTAGCTGCATGTATAATAACTAGAAATTATAGTGGTGTCATACCAGAACTGTACAAGAAGCAGGTTTGTTTCTTGTACGGTTTTCCAATAGGGACAGAAGTTGGGTTATTAAAGCAAAACGTTTTAGTCTTGAGCAATATAGCAAATAAGCCGTTAACACTAGAAGTATTTATGGACTTGTCAAAGGCTTTTAACCGCCTGAATCATAATACTTTGATCTAAATGCTTTTTATGTACGGTGTGCGTGGTAGAGCCCTAAGTATAGTAAAACGTTATTTTCAGTATCTCTACCAGTGCGCTGAGATACATTAAAAGCGATCTTAATTGCAGCCATTAACAGCTGGAGTGCCAAAAGGTAGTACTTTGGGACCACTTTTTTTACTTGTGAGTCAGCGACATAGCAAATATTGATGGAAATGTACGTTTTATTATTTACGCGGATAACACGAGTGTATTTTTTCAGGTAGGGATATTGAGCAAATTACAAGTACTGCGAATAAAGTTCTAGATAAATTAAATACTTGGACAGTATCTAATTCCTTGCGAACTACTTGTGGTGAAACTAAAGTGGCTCTTTTTAGAGTAAGAAATACACATTGCTTTCATACCTCTACTCTCTCCCTCGGTACCCATAAAATAGATATGGTCGAAAGTGTTAGAGTTTTGGGTGTAATAATTATGAGTACACGCTATGGGATGAAATGGTACATTATACAAGTCAAAAACTCTCAAAGGTCATAGGTGTTATATACAAATATCGTCATATACTCCCAGTGACAGCAAAAGTCTCTCCTATATCATTCTCTATTTTATGTGTATTAATCACTACTTTTTTGGGTTCGGGGGATACAACGTCCGCAAATCTCAAGCAGAAACAGATTCTACAAAAAAGCTGTGCGTATGATATGCCATACTGCATACGATGCTCTTACGAGACCATTGTTTAAAAAACTTAATATCGTACAGATTCCAAAATATTATCATTATAAACTTTGCGTAACCTATAAAAATAGTTTTCTTTAAAAAGAAAGCATATTTCTGCCTATTCCCCAGATTACAAATAGAGACAGAATTTATAATACACGCAACGCAGATACGTGGTTAGTGCCGCACTCCAGAAAAAAATATGGAAATGAGATGTTGCGAAATACTGTTCCCCGTCTTTTAAATCGTTTGATAGAATTAAACATTGAACTTTTGGCTATGGTAAACAAATATTTGCCTTCCTTTTTTGTTGAGCCTGCAATGTTAGTGTAGGTACATAAAATGTGGTCATTTTTATTTTTATTTTTTTTTTTTATTTCAAAGGAATAACTAAATATGTAGTTCCTTTTTGTGTGTTAACTGTTTAGTGTGCTGTCTCTGTTGCGTCTGAAGGGAGGCGGATACCTGTCAAGCAACTCATTTGTTGCTTTTTCTCTGTTTCCCCTCGCCAAATGGAGAAAAATAAAGAATTTTGTATTTAATTTGATTTGAGTGTTGTCTGTGGGTGTCTAGCAGCATCGTTGAATCAGTAGAAGTTATGACAAGACGGGTAAAGGTGGCGTATCGAACTGTTTGGCGTTCCGTGGACTCGCCATGAATCATGTGTCGGTTGTCAAAATCATCCTTTCCGCACGGCCAAATCAGCCGCCAGAAGAAGGGCTTAGGTGGTGACTAGAAAAATCAAACATCAACCTGCGGGGTGAGACTTTGTTACACATTGTATAGGCTCCCCTGGTTTGCGGTGTCCGGGACGAAGGGGTGCAGCGTCGTCTCCTTACAAAACCAACCTTGATCTTCAAAAAGGCGTTTGAGACTGTTGTCCCTTTGATGTATGCCACCCGGGATGCCCGCCACATCAGGAGGCGTGGCCTGCGCCGTTGACGTCCGACTAGCATCGCATTCTACAAATACCCAAGGGTGTCAGCAAGCAGGACGGAACACCTAAGCCTCCTTAGAGTTGGTAACACGTTGATGCTCTCGCTGCAACGGTGCTTATTACCCTAGGAACTGTTGTTTTCGCAACGAGGAGTGCCATTTCTGCAACCGGAAGAGACACACCGTCTGAGCTTGCCGTAAGAAGGAAGCTACCCGGAGGTGAACGAAGTGCAGCGACAACCGCCCAGGAACGTTAAGTGATGACAAATCTTGACGCGCCAGTCTTTACGGAGTTTACCACATTGAGAGTGGCCTGCCAGCGTTCATGACAACCTTCACAGTCAATGTAAGCCAAGTACCTATGGATGTGGTCTCTGGTTTTGTGTGCTTCATTGTCAACCTGACGACAATGTGAAAGCGAAAAATTTCCAAGAAAGCGCGTCGACCGTGCACACGATGAGTTCGAACTTACACACAGGAACCTGTGGCTCTCATGGCAGAGGTGAAAGTGCAGGTCAAGTATAGCGGCCCAGAAGCTCAGATTCCGCTACCCATGAAAAAGTGGGTCAAAAAGAGCAGTTTCGGATGCGAGTGGTTTCAACCGGTAGGCATCTTTTTGGTAGGTCCTCATTAGATTTATGGAGCCCCCATTTTCTGGAACTGCAACGAGGAGAGCCGTTTAGCTGTAGTCTAAAAGCACTCATTGGGGATGAATGTGGCAGCTCTCCTCGAAGACTTCTCGAAAGTGCTTACGTACGAGCTGGGGAGGAGCAAGGGTCGCCCTGTGCGAACTGAAGTTGGGAATCATGCCGCACCCGCACAAGGAACGTGAAAGTACTGTTCGCGCTTCTGCCGAAAGTGGAGGAAGCCATCGAGAAGTTGGTGGAACGAGGTGTCTAAGTTCCGGTCGAGCACTCTTGTTGGGCGATGCCTATCGTGTCGATTGTAAAGAGGATGAGAAGATGAGAATTTGCGGTGACAACAAGGGAAAGCTCAACCATTCGTTAGGGTTGAGACTTATCCGCTACCCACTCCTTAAGAGCCCTAAGCAAAGCGGGGAGGTTGCTCAGCGATTTCCCGGCTTGACTTTTATCAAGCTTATCAGCACTTGGCGTCGACGAAAACATTTCCCTGTTATCGACTGTAATGACTCACAAGGGGCGTTCCAAGGTGAACTGATTGCAGTTTGCTGTGGCTGTGGCAATCTTCCTGGGTAATATGAAAGAACTCGTGAACGACCTTCGAGCAGGGCTGTGTTTCTTGGCGACATTCTCGGGGAAAACAAGCAGCACCCTCTGCGGCCAATCGTCGTTGGCCGCAGCGGATATTGAAGTACATCCATGACGACGGCCTGCGTCTGAATGCTGACATGTGAGCTTTTCAAGTGTGACCCACGGTTTGCTACTGGACGAAGAAATGGCGTTACCTGTGCCAGGATCATTAGAGGCACACGGTCGGCGAAACCCCAGCGGGAGAGGATGGCACTATCGTTCGAGCAGCGGTAAAGAGCGAAATCGCAACTTGTCGTGAGATAAACAATAAAGCAAATTAGTTTGCCTAAATTGTCTACGGAAATAACTTAAGTAAAGAAGAATCGCACGCGTGGTACTGCATCAACGAAGACAACGTCACTCCTTCAGCCGTAAAGGTGGAGTCCATCGAGAATGCTCTGGAACCGGCGAACAAGACAGTGCTACCGTCGTTCTTGGTAGTTTTGAACTACTATAATCGTTTTCTGAAAGGGGCCGCCCATGTGCTCAAAATAGTTTTATTGTCTTAGGAATAAGAATGACGTGTGGCTTAGAACTAAGATGGAGGCAGTGATGTGCAAGAGTACCAGGTGTCTGCTAGATTTTTCAGCTGTTTTGCACTCTACGATGTGTCGCGTCCCATAGTGCTGGCCTGTGGCGCCTCCATGTCCCGGCTGGGAGCTGTACTGAACCATTTGGGAGAAGGTGGCATTAAAAGGCCTGTGACCTTTGCATAGAGAATTTTGTTTTAAACAGAGTGTAACCACGCAGACGCACACAACAGCAAGAACAATCAGTACAGTTTTCGCTGTCGCTCTTCGCATGCTACATGGCCAAACGCTCCACGGGAAGGTAGTTGTTTGATATGAGGGCCCTACATAGGAGAATTGCAAGGCTGCATTGTGGTTGTAGGAGGGAAACCTTCAGCTCGGCGTCCGTTTCCGACTATTTGTACTACGTTATCAACATTTTTCTCTCCTGACGGAAAACAAGACGAATAACTGACAAATAACGGGCCCAGATATCTTGCAAGAGAGCAGGAAGACAGCTGAAGACTTTCATGACAAGTTTGATAAATACTAATTACATTTCAAAGTCTACATTTACAAAACCTAAGCTTTCAGGACGCTCCATTTCAGAGGGTTCAACTGTAATCAAATTCTACTGCCAGGTAAGACATCAATTTCAACCTCATTTTTTCAGCTTAACTTGAGATAGTAGGACCAATCTCACCTGTTATGTTCCTGGCAATGTTCCTCACCTAAAAATGGAAGCTGTCTGGGGTGTCAGCGCATGTGTCCTCAAATACCCAAGTGCCAACTCCCAGCATCCACCTGACATCGAATAACACTTCGTTGATGCGTGCCGTGAATTGGAGCCAGTTGTTGAACATATTTCCAGGTAGTCTGGCTTGTTAAATGCGATGAAGGGGGTCTCGAGCTTGAGTCAACATGGGTTGCTTATCAGTGGTCGTTCTGGAGGAGACCAGCATGAGAACATTTGGAAGATTTTAGAGAGAAATGGTTATCCAGCGATTTTGTGCAGACGATCGAAGCTTATGACAAGACGAC